GGGAGTGCCAACACCCTGCTTAGTCTGGCCACCTGCCGTCTGCGAGCCTCAGCTTCCTCATTTGTCCAAGGGTGGTCATGAGAAGAACGTACGCAGGGCCACGGTGAAGGTCAAACATGTGTGAAGTGTGTGGCACAGCGTGACATATGTAGGTGCCTGAAGGTGGGCCTGTTGAAGTTGATGCTCCACAGCATCCTGTCTAGATGAGTCAGGGCCCTTTCATTTGCAAATGACAGAAACCCAGCTGGATGGAGCTGAGCCAAGTGAAGGAAGGGTGTTAATAAACTCAAATAACTGAACAGTTCTTGGGTGGATCCAGTTTCGGGCACAAATGGATCCCGGACCTCAACCCACATTCCCAAGAACCTGTCTCCCTGGCATGGCACTGCTCACCTCTGTTCTGCCTTCTCTCTCTTGGGCGCCCTTCCCGTGGTGGCCTTTGGCGGCTCCAGGCTCATGTCCTCCCTGTTGGCTGGTCCCAGAAGACAGAGAGAGAGAGAGCGCATGCCTTATTTCCCAGAGTTCTCGCAAAAGTCCCTGTGCAGAGCACAATTTACTCTCTGTGGAATTTCTCTTTTGGTTTGCCTCTTTGTTTTCTCCTTTTGGTAAAAGTCTAACATTTAACCAGAACGCAGCCTCCCTTCCCCCACCCCAAAGTAGGCTGTGCTTCCATAAATAACTTTGGAATGTGCTGTGTGACCTTAAGCAAATCACTTAACCTCCCTGAACCTGTTTTCTCTTCTGCAAGGAGGGCTCCTACCTTACATAGACAGGAGTGTAGTGAGACTCACTGAAATGATGAGTGTGACACAGTGCATCTCAACAGCCATCCTCCTTTCTACCAGCAACAGCCCCTAAGCTTGGGAGCCTTCCCATCTCCAGTCCCTCAGAATTGGGGGTGCAGTGTATGACACAGGCCTAAGTCAGTCAGCACACGGCATTGTCCCGGCCAGCAACTGGTTCAGGGAGTCACGTGCCCCAAGCTAGGGCAGGTAGAGGAATGTGGGGCTTTTGCTGGAGAGGCTCAGACAGTGTGCTCCCCAGGCTGGGAACGCAGAAGCACGTGGTCTCTGGAGCGGCTAGAACTGTCACGTGACCACACAACGGGAGCCTACAAATGGAGGCACTAGAGAAAGGAGGGCTGAAGAGAAACTAGAAGGTGGTGATAATATTCAGGCCTCTGACTCCAGCCACCCCTGATCATTTCCTACCTTCTCAGCAACCAGGGATCCCATCCTTCTACTTCCGGCGACACCTTTTGGGGCTATGGACCTCAGAATGAGAAGGTTTTACAACTGAGGTCCAACATCCTCAAAGGTCCCCAAAGTTCAGAAATCTAGTGGCGGAGTCGGGACTAAAATGAAGTCTCCTCGCTTGTATTCCAGTGCACTTGCCACCAAACGTGGTCCTCTTTCTGGAATCCTTGCTCATCAGCTCCGAGACTAAGAATACCAAGTAAACAAAGCAGAAGTAAGGAAAACCTGGAGAGATTTTCCTGAGGGGATCAAAGAGGGGGAAATGGGATGCAGGGCACGCACGAGGGAGGGGTGCCTGGGACAGATGGGCCACCTGCCTTAAAGTCTTCTCCAGGGTGTCTCTGAGAAGCAGTTAGAAGAGGGGGAGGGGGAGGGAACAGGCGAGTCTGGAGTTTTCTCACATGGGTTACTAGGTACACATCATTAGACCAGGGTGGCCTGATGGTGGTCACGATTTGGTGAACATGACAGCAGCCGTGGTGATGTTAGAAATCTTTCTTCTGCAAGTGACAGGCAGCCCGGCTCAAATTAGCCTAAGCACACACATAAAAAAGTCGATTGGCTCTTCAAGAAGTAATGGCTTCAGGAACACTGATCTGGGTGCTTAGACGGGCTATCAGAACTCAACTTTTCTATTTCCATTTGTGTCCTCTGCTTGCCTCTGCGGCGCCTTCACGCACAGGTTTGCACAACGGAAGCCTGCAAACCCTGCAAGCGGGGACCTCCCCCTCGGCCTTACGCCCGGGCCCGAAGAGCTTCTCTTTGCCAGGAGTTCCACCCAAAGTCTCAGGAACGTGTCTCATTGGCCTGAATTGGGTCACGTGTTCCAGTATCAACCAATCACTGGGCCAGGGGGTGGGAGATAACGGTTGGCCATCCTGGGTCCCGTGCGCATCCAAGGCCGCAGCCCCGCGGAGGCGCGGGAACATTGCCCAAAGCAAATCCAATGGCGGCGCGGCACTGGAAGGAGAAGGAATGGATGCTAGGAAGACGAAAACAAAAAATGCCCTCGGGATGCCTGGGTGGCTCAGTCGGTTAAGCGTCTGCCTTCGGCTCGGGTCATGACCCCAGGGTCCTGGGATCGAGTCCCACATCGGGCTCCTTGCTCAGCAAGTAGCCTGCTTCTCCCTCTGCCTGCTTCTGTCTCTCTCTCTCTCTCTGATAAATAAAATCTTAAAAAAAAAAAAAAGACAGTTGAACAGTATTTCTTAAAACAAAACAAAACAAAGCAAAAGCCCTCTATAGAGGTTATAAGATGGTCTGCAAATTGCTAATAATAACTTCCCCCCCCCCCCAAGTCAAAGAAGTTCGGGAAATCCCAGATTAGGCAAAGAGAAACAGATTATTTTATCCCAGGATCTCTCCCGAGCCATGAACTTCCTACTGCGCGTTTCGTTTCGTCTCTGCAAGGGGGAATGAGAGAACGCTGCTTTTCCCCGGCGCTGGCGCTCCCGACCACGGAATTCTTTCTCGAGAAGCTTCCCCCAGGATTCAGAGGCCACAAGATAAGTTTGGGGAAAAACAACACCGAACAGCACAAAGAGCCCAAGCCGTCACTGTCAGTGAGTCCTGGCCCAAGCAGCTGCTGCGAACACCTGTCTTCGTTGGCTCAAGGCTTGCTTTGGCCACCGGGAGCCAGAAGTTCCGGAGAATTAGGTGGCGACTGCTGGGCAGAGATGTGGAAGTACCCCGCTCCCTCCCCAGGACGGCCTGGCCCACACCCACGTGCTCTGGTGTCACCCGCAGGCTCTCGCTGACTCCCAGTGCTGTCATAGGACCGTGCCCCAGGCCCAGTAGTAACTGGCTTTATAATGCACCCTTGTTGGATGCCTTCTTCTTCCTGTCTCACTCCCCTACTCCTCTGCCAGTGTTTTGGGACCACCTCCCAAATAAACCACTTGCACTAGGACTCTCACCTCAAGGACTGCCTCTGAGAGAACCCAAATCAAGAGAGCTGTTGCCTACCGATAACGGTAGCCATTCTAGAAGCACCCAGATGTCTCCCCCAGCGATTCCAGAGAACACTCTCTCTTATCACTACGTCGACCTTTCCTCCGACAACAGACTTCAAGAAAAAAAAATTTATTTCTGCTCCCCAGCTTCAAGGGGATTCTTTCCACTGGCCACCCCAGTGGGCTCAGATACCCCAGCCCCGACCCCATAGACATCATTGCATTGACTGTCTGTCCTGCCTGGCCCATCGACTGGTGGAAGCAAAGCCACATGTTCTTGCTGGTCCAAGAAGCAAAAATGGGAAGCTGCTTCGTGCTTCAGGGAATGTCCCTACCCCCAGTCCACCAAGAAAAGGACCAGAGTCACCTTGGACTTCCCCATGCCTCACAGTGCAGGGCTGTCACGCCCCTTGCTTCGGCCTCTCAAGGATCTCATTCTACCACCTCTCTCCATTGTCCCTCCTTCTTTAGCCAGCCTACCACCACCTTTCCTGTACATATTCCCAACAGCCTCCTCTTTGCTTCCACCTCAGAGCCTTTGCACATGCTGCCCCTGAGGCTGGAACATCATATACAACTCACCTGCTTGGCCCAGACAGATCCGTGACTCTCAGCCTGTTTACTGTCTCTTAAAACTACCCTAACCGCCCCCCGCCATTCCCTCCTTGGGCCTCGGCCTCTATTATGAAATCACTCAGATATGCAAACACTTAAGAGAATAATATTTCAAACAGTTGCAAACCCAACCCTGCTTAAGAGTAAGACAGTACTTATCACTGAGGCCTTCCTGAATGCCTTCCCAACCATTCCACACACTCGGTCGCCTGGTTGCCTCTCCCCTGGACTTGGTATTCCTCGTTGCTTTGCCTGTCTTGCATACGTGTGTATCCCTGAACCAGATATACCCGTTTTCAGGCTTTCAACTTCATATAAATAAAACAACTTGTTTTCCTGTTCTCACTCCATATTCTCTTGGTGATGTTTATCCGTGCTGACAGGTGCTGCCCCAGCGCGCTTTTCCCCGCGCTCATTTTTACCTGCTGGGGCGCATCCACCCACAGTGTGACCAGGCTATAAGTGCTCCACCCAGTCTCCCAGTGATCGCCTCTGTCTGCCCTTGCCCATCGCCATCGCAAGGCCAAGGCCGCCCCAGCCTCTGGTACCCGCCCCCTCAGTCCGCGGGCTATTCACTCAGGGTTTATACCCAGCAATTTGCTAGGTAAAGGGACCCACCATCTCCAGCCCTGCTGATGCTGCTAGATTGTTCTCCAAGGTGCTCGTACCAACACACCTTTTGATAAACTTTCTGCTCCTCAGCCCAGGCACAAAGGTGCCTCTTCCCTTGTCTGTTTCTTCCAAATAATCTCTGCCCGCTGACGTCCAGCCCATCCAGCCCTCTCCCCGGGCCTCCCTCCCCCACCTCTCCAGTCGGGCCCCTTACTAGCCTCCCTTGGAGAGCAGCCGGCGCTTTGGACAACCAGCCAGAGCAAGGACCTTGGCAGCAGGGACTCCAGAGGCCAACAGCTGCGGATGGAATCCCGGATTTACCACTTTGGCTGTGTGCCTTTGGGCAAATCGCTTCTCTCTGGGCCCATTTCCCCACCTGTGAATCGGGATACCCCCAGTAAACTGCTCAGAGGGGAATGGCAGTGATTAAACGAGATAAGCATGGAAACATGGCAGGTGCTTGAAGAAGTTGTTACTATTGCCTTTGAAGCCCACAGAGGACGCCGACAACTCTCTGCATTACTCTGGGCTACTTTATCGTATGCAACAGAAACCCCAAGTCAAGCCGGTTGAAGACAACTGGGAATTTATTGGCCCACGTAACTGGGAAGCTGGAGGGGGTTTCTCGCTTCAGGTGTGCCTGGATCCAGGAATTCGGACTCCAACGGGAAGCTGGCCCTGTCCGCCTCTGGACCATTCTGTCCTCCACATCACCTTCATTCTCGGGCAGGCTCTCCAAGTAGGGGCTCTAGGAATATATTCATCCAGTTTACCAACTGCCATGAACAAGAGCTTCGCCTTCCAGACACTTCCTGCCCAAATCCCAGGGCCGGTCCTCAGGGGCCCGGGTTTAGGTTACGTGCCCAGAGCAGAGCCAGTCACAGTGACCGAGGCATCCACCAGAAGCTGCTCAGAGTGTGGCTCCCGGAACAGAGCTGTCAGAAGCCTCTGGTAGCTCCTTTGAAACGCAGACTCTCAGGCCCCATCCCAGACCTACTCATTCGGAATCGGCATTTTAGCCAGACCTCCAAGGGAGTCATCTGCACACCAAGGTCAGGATGGCTGCACTGCACATTACCTTTCAGTTGCCCGGGGTCCAGTCCGTCCCCTTGTTTTAAAGATGGAGAAACTGGGGCGCCTGGGTGGCTCAGTTGGTTAAGCGACTGCCTTCGGCTCAGGTCATGATCCTGGAGTCCCAGAATCGAGTCCCGCATCGGGCTCCTTGCTCAGCGAGGAGTCTGCTTCTCCCTCTGACCCTCCCCCCCTCATGCTCTCTCTCTCATTCTCTCTCTCTCAAATAAATAAATAAAATCTTTAAAAAAAAAAAAAAAAGATGGAGAAACTGAGGGCAGGGCGGGGGTGGGGGGAAGCTCTAGGCATCCACACGGCACCCGGGGCTCCCCCCGGCCCTGCCCCCCAATCATCCCAGCTGCGTCCATGGACTGTCTCATGGGGGGATGCACCAAAGCCCAGAAGTGGCAGCCTGGGTCGGACATGCCTCATGCCCGAGTGCCAGAGCCGTGTCCCTGCCACCATTCGGCCACTCCCAGTCCCGGGTCAGGACCTTCCAGAGCGCAGCGGCCCCAGGGTGGAGGATGGAGACCCCCAGACACACACACCGGCTCGTGCATACACACACTCCCACACGGGCGCTCGGGCACAGCCCCCCCTCACACGGACTCCCACCCGCCAGGCCCCCCAAAGGCAAGAGCGCTACAGACCACGTCAGCCTTTATTCTACTGCAGAATAGGGCTGGGGCCGGGGTAGTTCATTCTCAGGCTGCGTCAGAAGGTGCAGTGTTGGGGGCACCCAGGCTGGACCCCAAAGTGACAATAAGTTAGGGGGGAGAGTCTCAGACTGATCTCAGGCTGGAGTCAGGGCGGGGTGCCACTGGGACCCCCCAGAGCCCTGCCGGCTGCCCAGCTCAGGGCTCCCAGGAGAGGTTGGTTCCAGGACAGGCATGGCTTCACGCTGAAACAACAGGGCAGGGGAAGGGAAGGGTTTCGAAGTCAGGAGGTCAGCAGGGCTCAGAGGGCTCCCCGAAGGAGTCGGAGGATAGGGCTGGGGGGGCGGGGCGGGGCGGGCGGGGCCTCTCACCGGACCCTCAGTTAAGCCCCTACAGATTCTCATAATCTGGAGCTCCCTCTTCCTCTTCGTCGTCCTCATCCTCCACCTTCTGGGAGCTCAGGATGGCTGGGAGGGGAGGGAGGGAGGTCTTCAGCTCACAGACCATCCCGGTCCCCCCTTCCCCCCACCCCCTGGCGGCCTCCCAGAGCTTCTGCCGCCCCCGCCCCCCCCTCCCCTCCCCCAGCCCAGCACACACCAGGCTCGGTCCTAGCCATGGGCGGCAGCTCCTGGGACACGTTCACATACTCCCGGCTCCCATCTGCAGGGGGCAGAGCAGAAGGGGGGGGCGGCCACGTGGAGGGTGAAGAGAGCAGGACACTCAGAAAGAGGGCCACAGCAGGGTGAGGGAGGGAAGGGGGGGGACCCCAGCGGGCACCGGCCACTCACCCAGAGACACGTCTGCACTCTCCTCGCTCTCGAGGACGTTCACATAATCCTCCCCCGACTCCACTGTAGGAGAAGCAGGGTCCCCAACACTGTCACCCAGGGCCCCCCCGAGCACAGACCCCCATGGCGTCCCAGCCCCAAACCACCCCCCCCACAGATCCCAGAGGCCGCCCCACAGCCAGCCCCAGGGGGGCCCACAGAGGCCTTGGTGCCAGCACGAAGTAGGGCAACCTGGCCAGAGCTGATGAGAGGGAGTGGGACTGTGGGAGAGGGCGGACGGCAGGCCCCGGCGTGTCCCCCCAGAGAGCGGCTCGGCGCCGAGGCTCGGGGTGACACCGCGAGTCCCAGGTGCTGGTGCCCCCCGGCCCTGTCAGCACCCGTCGCCATGGGTGCCATCTTGGCCTTTAATGCACACTTGTTTCTCCACGAGGGAGGTCGTGGATGAGGCAGGCTTTGGAGCCAGAGGGCCCAGGTTCAAGTCCGGCTCCGGCGCTCACAGTCACGTAACCTCACATGAGATACCTAACGCCTCTGGGCCTCGGTGTTCTCATCGGGAAGAGAGGGTGGGCGACGGCCCCCGCCTCCCAGGGCTGTTGTGAGAACTAACGCAGAGAGTATCGAAACGGGGCCTGTCCTACGGTAAGTGCCGCCGAGTGTCTGTTAAATAAATGATCCCTCCTGTCGTACAGTCGGGACAACCGAGGCGCAGGAGGGGGAGAGATGGGCTCAACAGCACCCGGGCATCGTGGGGTTTAATAAGTTAACACACGAAGCGCTCTTAGGAGGGCAGGTGGTTGGCGCCCGACAACGTCGGCTCTTACCCTGATGCTGCCTCCTGAGCTGGAGGGAGGGACGATGAGTCCATGAATGAAAAGAAGCACTAGCACAGATGGCAGTGGGCACCCACGTGGGCAGAGGAAGCCAGGGTGGAACAGGTACGGAGAACGAGGACAGGGCCAGAAAACCAGACACGGAAGGCAGCCTCTAACAGGCAGCGTGAGACCAACACGAAGGGAGAAAAGCAGCTCAAAGGAAACCGAAATGATGCCGGAAGCAGAAGAAAACTTCCCAAACCCCCCCGGCCCCCACAGAAGAGTGGCTATAATCAATGTCCTTGGAGAGCGACAAGCTGACGCGGCCTCCATGAAACCAGACAGGAGGCTATGAGAAAGGAACACCAGAGACCAAGAAAGAGCTTCCAGTGGGCGAGACAAGAGAAGAGAGTCCAAGAGAAGAGTGAAGTCAAAGAAAGCGCGCAGGCAATAAAAGGGAAAGACAACGGAACAGGAAAGAGGCCAGAAAAAGTGAGGAACTCAGAGGAGCTGAGCAGAAGTCCACCCTGAGGGATAGGCGTTGGAGAGAGAGAGAGGAGAGACGGTGGGGGGGGCGGCGAGCGTCAGGGGAATCACGGGACAGGGAAGCGCGGAGGGGTCGCGCCCAGAGTCGGGAATGGCTGGCTCACTGGAGAAGGCGCTGTCTCGGAGGCCGGGGTTGCTGGGCACAGAAGCTGGTGGGACAGCACTGCTGGTGGCTGGTGTGCTGTCGGGAAGCACCTCCCTGAGGGGCAGTCGGGGGGCGGGTCAGCGAGGGCCCCCGGGCCACGGCCTCCAGCCCCCCGACCCCCGGCCCCGGCCTGGCCACTCACAGGTAGCCCTCATTGTGATAGTCCTCCTCCTCGTCCTCGTCCTCGTCCTCACAGGCGGGCTCTGGGGTAGCGACACGGCGATCAGCGGGGCCCGGGCCAGGCCCCAGCCTGCCTGCAAGCAGGGCACCCGGGGCCCCAGACGTACCCTCGTTCTCGTAGCTTGCCACACTGTTGGCTTCGGAGAGCGAGCAAGAGGGAAGCTGGGTCAGCTCGGGTGGGATCCATCCCCTGCCCAGCCCCAGCCCTCTGAGCCCTGGCTCCGCACTTACCACCAGCTGAGTCCCGCCGGGAAGATAGCATGCGGTGGGGCTGTGGGGACCTCCTGGCAGTCAAAGGTCAGAGGTCATGCCTGAGTGGGGCTCTGGGGCAACAGGGGTTGCAACCGGGAAAAGAGACCCCCCCCCCGCCAATCTACAGAGGTGAAGGGGGGAAAGGGGGAATTTGGAAGCGGGGATGCTACTTACGGGATAGGGAGCAGGTCCGGCTGGCTCAGGGGTGGGTAGGAGGTAACAGGAGCGTAGGAGGTGGCTGATGGCCAGGGCACGACCGTGGCTGAGGACACAGGACCAAGCTCAAGGAATGAGTCCTGACATCTCGCCCCTGTCCTCACGGAGGCCTCCATGGACAGACTAACCCCATGAACCGTCCCATGCCCTGGACAGGCCCTAGGAGACCCATCTCCCAGCTCAGGTCAAGGCCATGTGGGCAGCCACTGGGGGGGGGGGACCTGAACAAAGGCACACGTTCTCTCACACGCCAAGGGACCCTCTCCCCTATGCCCGAGGAAGGGAACCCTCTGTACTCACGAGGCCGTTTGAGCACAATGCTGCTTGGGGTCAGGCTGGAAGGAGAGACACAGCTTGGTCAGAGCCCGGAGACGCCCCCAGCTCCCGTCCCAGTCCCCGGGGCCACACAGGGCCCACGGGCCACTCACCTATCAGAGGCCGCAGTGTCATAAGAGCCTGGGGAAGAGAAGACAGTGAGGCAGGACGAGGGGTGACAGGGGAGAGGGCGGGAGTGCAGGGCCCTCGGGTCCCAGGCACGCAGGGCAGAGTTAGGGATGGCTAAGAGGGAGCGAGGGGTCAAGGAGGGCCGGATACCCCTGCAGCTGTGCCCCGGGCAGCCCCCACTCACCGGGCAGCTCCCTGCAGCGCACGCACAAGGCTACAGCCAGCAGGGGCAGCAACAGGAGGCCCAGCACGCAGGGGATGAGGACGACAGCCTCCATCTGTGGGGGAGAGCTGGGGCCCACCGCCCGCCCTCAAGGGCCAAGCCGCTGCACCGTGAGGGCTGGGCCAGCAGGGGTGCGGGAGCCCAGTGGGCACCAGCCTGGAAGTCTGGGTGGGGGGCAGCTGTGCCCTCCTTGGGCCCTCCCTGGGCCCCCTCCCCTTGCTGGACGGCGCAGGGGGTCAACGCTGGCTGGGGAAGACCGGAGATCCCAGGGCGGTCCGGCCAGGCTCTGGGCCGCCGGTCACCCCTGCGCAGCCCCTGCGCCCCAGCCCTACCTGCCCCTCGACTAGGCGCCTGCCGTTCCCCAGTGCCTGCCCGCCTGCGGCAGGAAGCTGTGGTGAGCCCCGACGAGGGCAGGAAATCATCGGCCCCAGCTGGCTGCGCCCGCCCCCTTCCCACCCCCACCCAGCCAGTGAGGAGGGGGAGGAAGAGGCCTGAGGAGCCACCCCCAAGGCCCTCACGAGGGGTCTGCTGGCCTCCAGGACAAGGAGCAACTCCCACCAGGAGAAGGAGGGCAAGACACTTAGAGGCCAGCCAACAGCCACAGCCCCGGCTCCAGGCAGCAGCCAGGAGGGAGGCCCTGCCTCTGGGAATTCGGGCGGGGGGGGGGGGCCCGGGACAGTGCCCACCCCACCTTACCCTGGCTGGCCTGCCAAGAGGGGCGGGCTCCAGGGGAACCACGGGCGTGACTCACAGTCACACCGAGCTAGCTCCCTCCACACTCTTGTTCGCCCGGCCCAGGAGGGCAGGATTTGCCGAAGGTCCCACAGGAGCGACCCCACAGCCCCGGGAGT